CTGTTGGAGGATCTCAAACTGAGCCTCTTGCAGGCCAATCGTATAGACTTGGAGGGTATCTAACGGCAGAACCTTGCAATTCGCATTCAGCCACGACAGGAACTGACAGTAGAAGGTCAGATAAGGTCCTGCATCACCAGGACGAGCATCTGAAAGGAAAATCACGCGAGTGCGTTCACGAACGTCCGAAAGCGTGCGGATGCACTCAACAACCCGCGTGTAAGATGCTCCGTGCTTGGGTTCTAGGGAACACGTCTCCAAGCAATCCAGTAGCTGCCGGGCGCTTGATTGCTTGCATATCACCTCAAGAGGCGGGCGAGATGCCGTAGGGTCTAGCGCCCAATGGGCCCCCGAAGCGAAACCGAAGCCAAAACGACTCAAGGCACGCTGAACTTAAAGATGTGGAGAGACCTACCCGACCTATCCCTCTCTGACAGTACAAGGTGCCTGCTCTCCTGCATCTGACACAAGAATGGCTGTGTACATGTCGCAGCCTTGCCCGGGGTCATTCTGCGCGAACTCCTTCAACATCAGCACGGCGCCATCGATACGGCGCATGCGTCGATCTTCCAGTACAAGATCCCTGCTTGACATGGACTTCGAGCTGTCCACCAGGAAGAGAATGTGGCACCTGCAAATGCGAGCTGGACAAAGCCAATTTTGAAGGCCTATATGGCACGAGTGCACGAACACAGGACGTCGAGTTAGAGAAGCAGTTGCCGGAAGCTCATGTAGGGGCCTTAATAATTAGAATAGGGTTTGTGGAGGGTTTTACAGTCTATTTATAAGGGGGCCATAAACGAATACCATTCGTAATTATTACGACGCCTATATTACAGCTTTTCGGATTGGGCACTGGCCTCTGTCCAGTTTGCTCCGCATCCTGGTAAACCACTTCTCCGCCAGCTGCGCGGCATTCCGCTTGCAAGGCCCGCCAGAAACCACTTCGAGACCATGCGGTGGCGTAAGTCCCCCCGCACAAGAGGTCCTCATGGATCCATTCCCCAGCCAGAGGGTCTGTGGGATCGTTGTTAGAGTTGGTTGCGTAGAGATAGCGAGATATCACCCCCCAGTCATCCTTGTTTCGAGTGAGATCCTTCTCAATCTCAAGGCTTTCCATGTAATGTTCCCACCGGGTCTCACTCGTGTTCCACAAAATGACGAATTCAAGCTGTGCAGAATACTTTGCGCTGGCGGACTCGCAAACCCGTGAAGTTTGCTGTGTGTACCAATAAACGGAAGCTGGAATATGAGGAACGTTCAATGCTGTCAGGGGCCGATGGTATGGATCTCTGCTGTACACCCCTGAGTGACGAGCGGGTGCCCTGTGCTTTCGTTCATCGGCACGGTTATCAATGTCCACACAAATCCTGCGATCGTCTTCGTCCAGGTAGTGCTCCCTCGCCACCTCGTGGATGGGAATGAGCTTGCTAAATTCAGCGAGCGATGGTGCCATGGCAGCAGAGCCAAGCGATGAATATGGCTAGTCTTGCACATGAGGAGTTTGCGCAGAATGCACAATGTCTGCGCAGATCAAATGTTTCATGTGCAAAAGATGCAGCTTCTGTGAGCTGAACGAAAACTTCGTGCTCGAAGCGCGAGATCATGATCTCATCAAGAATGCAGAGCGCATGATTGAAGAACTGCAGACCTCCACACCCGCAAGGCTCAAACAACTGCAGCAAACCTCTAATTTCTTTGGAGGAAACTGGGGTTCTTTGAGCTTCCATACCAATGGGGTTGTACGAAAATAGAGGACCCCTAAGATAAACCCAGAAATGGTAGGATCCCCTTACAGGAAGGACCCCACGAAGGTACCCCGGATAGGAAAGGGCCCCCAAGTCTACTTTCTTATGGACTCCAGGGATCACACAAATCGAGCCCTACATTTCCGTTGCAAAGGAATTTGAGAACCAGACGGGGCCCTTATGCCGGAATATGCCCGCAAATTTCCCGGGGCTCCCAGAATGCAACACATCAAATCAGTTAACTTGAGCCGCCCTTCAACATGTAGCCTTAAACCTAAACTCCGCACCCTAAACCCAAACCCTTGTTTCAAATAATTGCGAGGCTTACTGAAACGGTTAAATGTTCAAGACCAGAACTCAGCCGCTGCATCTGCTTAGGGTTGAGGGTTGGGGTGTAAGGCATGACGTTTAAGAAAAAACAGTGAGACAGCGCAAGCATCAGCCTCGAGATATTGCCCACTCTACTTGCAAAAAGCCCTTGATCCCTTGTTGTGTCCCGAACCGTTCGGCCATTCTCTTCGGTCTGTTGCATACGCACCATGGCGGCGGGATCGACATGAACCTTTCCTGCAAGCCACTATTGCATAACCGTTGCAAGCTGACACAGAAGAACTGATAGAGTTTAGGGTTTGAGGTTTAGGGTTTAGGGTTTAGGGCAGTCCCAGTTGCGCGTTCCATGTTTTGATTCGCAGAAGCTGCAAATCTTCGACTAGCGGTGAGACAATGGCATCTGTGTTTCATGCCAAGGGGTTCAATACGGCGTTAGACCACCCGGTCGTTTCTTTAAACCCTAATTAAACCCTAAATCCTAAACCCTAAACCTAGATGCAACCTAAAACCTTAACATGCACCGATTCCCTTGAGTCTTCTTGAAACCCACTCTAAACCCGAGCAGAACAGGACGCCGTGGAGGCCCGCGTTTTGTGGGTTCCCAAACCCTAAACCCTAAACCCCAAACCCTAAGCCCTAAGCCCTCAGCCCTTCAACTTCTAACCCCCGGCGATTCCGGCGGCTGCTCAATTCTGGGGGCCAAACCTCGGCGCGGTAAAGGGGGCCGCAAAGAATTTCAACGTTTGTCGGTTTTTGTTTATTTGGAGTTTTCAATCAAGAACTTCTGTGTTCTTTGGTTGTTGCTTGTCTTAGGGTTTCGGTATCCTAAACCCTAAACCCTAAACCCTAAACCCTAAACCCTAAACCCTAAACCCTAAACCCTAAACCCTATCAAAGGGCTTTACAGGTATCTCACAGGGCTTTGCTGGTTTCTTTCGATGGCTTTCTTCTGGGGTTTGAAGGGCTTGAGGACTTGAAGACTCTAAGGCATGTTAGCCAGCCTTTACAAAAGAATTTCAAAATGCGGGGTTTAGGGTTTAGGGTTTAGGGTTTAGGGCTTGGGATGCAAGTTTCATGGCTTTCGGGAGTAGGGTCGGTTAAGTGGTCTGGGGATTGCCCGCCCACGAGGCTATGCTACCCTGGATGCAAGCGCGCGGGCCTCGGTTAAGAGGTGGGGTTTAGTGTTTCGGGTTCTGGGGCTTATATTATTGGGTTCTTAAGGGACAGGGGTTCAAGGGGGGTATGTACCAAGGGAACCTTAGGGAAGTTTACAGAGCCTTAGGGAGTAGTGGGGAGTATTAGGGAACCTTGGGTTACCTACCCCCCTTGAACCCCCCTCCCATAAGAACCCTAAACCCTAAACCCTAAACCCTAAACCCTAAACCCTATAGCAAATAGTAGGTAGGCCCTCGCAAACTCTCAAAAACCATTCAGACTCCCTGGAGGCGTTCAGCTGATCCCCCACAGCAACCTGATACTTGGTTCCAAGGGTTGGCAGAGCCCCCCCTTGGGGATCCGAGGCTCTTTAACAAAAAACCCTAAACCCTAAACCCTAAACCCTGAACTCTAAACCCTCAACCCTGCACTCTAAACCCGAAACCCTAAATCCTAAACCCTCAGCCTAAGCCAGAGACCCGAAATCTTCAACGAAGCTCCGACTTCGTGGCAGATGTGGTTCGTGCGCTATTTGTTGACCGTCATCCCTAACCCAGTTCCTTAAGTCCTGATGCCTTCTTCTTCTTCGTTGTCCAGTGTCCTAGGGGAACTAGAGGTTAACCTTTCGGATTCTATAGGGATTTTTAATGCCCGAAATGGGTTACAGGTTTCCGACTCCACTATACCACATTTGGACTTCGGCCTAAACCCTTAACCCTAAACCCTAAACCCCTCCCCACTTCCGCAGCCTCAGAGACCAAGGCTGATGCGAAGATTCAAGGCCTTGGATATGGGTTTAAACCCTAAACCCTAAACCCTAAACCCCAAACCCCAAACCCTAAACCCTAAACCCTAAACCTCTGGGGCTTGAGGTGTCAGGTTTGTTGCCGCTCTTCTAGGGGGATTTGGCTTGCAAAAGGCGTCTAGGAGGTGCAAAGGGGTTTGGAGGTTTGGGAGTTGGTTTAGGGTTTAGGGTTTAGGGTTTGGGGGAAACAGTTTGGGGGGTTTAGGAGTTTGAGAGTCTAGGGGTCTCGGGTTGAAGACTCACCCGGCGGATATCCTCGCACCCGTGTGCTGGGATGTCGCCTGCTTGCCAAATGCAGCCCTTGGTGCAGAAACCCTAGACCCTAAACCCTCCCTCTCTCTCTCTCTCGCAAAACCCTAAACCCTAAACCCTAAACCCTAAAGCAGAAACCCTAAACCCTAAACCCTAAACTCTAAACCCTAAACCCTAGAGAACCCTGCAGCCTTCAAACAACCCTCAAGGTGCCATGCAGTTGCTTGCACCGGGTGCTTTGAGGCTGAGGGGCGAAGCCGTGCTCTTGTGGGGGCTTGGGATGTTTAGGGTTTAGGGTTTAGGGTTAGGGCTTCGGGGTCCAGGCTTTAGGGCTTCAGAGTTTGGGTTGAGTTTTTCTTTTCCACCTTCCTGTGGCCTAGCACTCACGATGCTTTGCAGGGCACTTGCTGGCAGTAAACAAAAGTGATGGGTCGAAATGCCTGAAGAACTGCGCTCGAGAGAGCCTGCATTAGTTACAAAGTCAGCCATGCCCCCCCCCCCCCCCATTTACCAGTCAGCAATGCTTTAAGGTTCAGGCTTCAGGGTTTGAGGTGAGTCAATATCTTCCTTAGGGCAAGTTGTTAACATTCTGAAGCAAGATTCCCTCGAACCCGAGAAAGGGAAACATACCCCAAGGCTACCTAGGTCCTTACTATTTAGCCATCGTCTACAGAAGGCAGCCCAAAATAGGCAAAGGAGGGACCCCCCAAAAAGGCCCTGAATCTTAGTACGCTACATAAGAGTTATACATACCCCCCCCTCCCCCCCCAAATAACCCTAAATAACCCCTAAGGTTCCTTGTAAGGGTCCCTCCTTTAGTCCCTTGAGCCCCCAAACCCTAAACCCTAAACCCTAAACCCTAAACCCTAAACCCTAAACCCTAAACCCTAAACCCCAAAACTACCCTGAAACCCTAAACCCCAAAAGAGCTCCTGGCACATGTGGAGCCCTTGGCAGCCCGGCACAGCGCTAAGGCAGCCCATGTCGTCATCCTCCAACTGCTTCTGCACCAGGGCCTCTTGGTGCTTTAGCATGAAAGCTTTTTTTGGAGTACTAGAATGGGAAGTCTTAATTCTATGTATATATACTTATATGTCTAATATACTCATATACATATATATATATATATATATATCTACAGTATGATGCATATAATACAAGTCTGCAAGGTTCTAGTGGGACAACCCCTTGGTAACTCTTTGAGCTCCTGAAGGAGATCGGATGCCTCCCCTTGGGATCATTCCGGGCCCCTATCATTCCCTCACTCAGTAAACAGGGTTGAGGGTTTAGGGTTTAGGACCCTAAACCCTAAACCCTTTGGTGCTTGGGGTTTCGGCTTCATGCCAGAGCCGGATGAGTGGGGGCCTCCTGGAAAACGCCAAGTTTGCCGGGCTGTTCAGGACAGTGTGGCTGTTTGGGGGCGCCTGGTGGGATCCTCTTTTAAATTAAAACTTGTCTAGGGTTTAGGGTTTAGGGTGTAGGGTTTAGGGCTTAGGGCTTAGGGTTCAGGGTCTAGGGCTTCGGGTTTAGCCTTTAGGGTTTAGGGTGCTATTTGGGGGTTCTAGGTTTTGGATCGGGTTGATGTTGATCTCATCAAGGGCTTTGTGAGTCACCGCGCTCGTGCTGGATGGGAGACACAAGCCTTTCTTGAAGGCATCCTTGTTCCAGGGCAAGCCCGAACTCCACTTAAATCCCCGAGCCTGAACTAGCTGAACCTGCAGACGCTATGTGAGAATCGAGAACGATGTAGATTAAGGGTTGAGTTGAGAGCCATGGGGCTGTTTTTTCGGACTGCTCTTTGCCACTCCAGGAATCAAGGTTAGGATGAAGGCACCCCTCCAGCTGATCCACAAACCGCAGGCGTGAATTATCGAAAACTGCAGCGAGCTAACAGTACACGTCTTTTTCTTGCTAAGCTCTAAGCCCGACAGCTCTGTCTCTAAGAACTCTAAGCGCTACATCCTGGCCCGAATGACACCCCAAACTCCAAACCCCAAACCCCAAACCCCATGAATCCGTTGCCTGCACCCTTACACACGAAACCCTGCGATGCTGGCGCCTTCACCTTTGAGTTGTAGCCCTGGCGATCCCTGGCCGGCGGTTGCGGGTCGTCTGATTTCAAAAGGTTTTCTCTTCTCGCGTCTGGGCGGGGGGGGTGGGGGGGGGGGGGGGGGGGGGGGGCCGGGGCGGGGGGATTTTGAGTCATTCTCCTGGGAATGTTCCCCCCTTATGCATGCTGGCAGTCCTTCGTAGGGCTTATAAGAGGGGGTACTACAATCCCTGTTAAGGACTCTCTAAACCCTAAACCCTAAACCCTCAACCCTACACCCTCACCCTACACCCTAAACCCTCTTAGTATCAGGGGGAACATCCTCTCCTCGCCTCCTCGCTGTGTGTCCGGCCCGGTATCCTGGCCTGATCCCTGGAGTGCCCACCCCCAGGGAAGCCGACCACTGGCTGGTTCTTAGTAGGGGTTAGGGTTTGGGTTTAGGGTTTAGGAGGAATGAGGGAATGGGGGTCCTATATAATCCCTTAACGGGTGCCACCCCCAGAGAATTCCGCGCGGAGAGCCCCGCGACAGAAGCCTGCAGTTTAGTGTGTTTAGGGTCTGGGGGCTCGGGGCCTTTCTATCCTTCCTTTTTGCTTGACGAGGATGTTCCTTAAAGCCCCCTGAAAAATGCTTAGGTACAGTCCTCTTAAGCCCACTACAAGGGCAAATGTAAAGTGTCCGAAGGGCCTACCGAGGCGATAACGGCAGGATGGCGCCCAAATTGGGTGCTGCAGCTGTAGGGTGGGGATGGCCGCAGAAAATTTAACTGGGGGTTTCGGGTCGAACCCTAAACCCGAAACCCTAAACCCTAGACCGGGTTGGGAATTAGGGGGTTTAAGGTTTGAGGGCTTGAGGGCAGGGATGCTTAACATAGGGGCCTTCATAATTTGAATAGGGTTTTGGGGGTTATTATAATATAAAGGGACCATAAGGGGATACGATTAGTAGTTATTCCGACCCTCATATTAGGCTTTAGAGTGTGGGGTTTCAGGCTTTCGGGTCGTAAGCTTTGTTTGGGGTTCAGGGAAAACGGCTTTATGATTTTAGAGTTGTAGGTTCTATAGCACAACGGGCTTGGGGTTGAAGGATGTGTCGGGTTGAGGCCCCAGGAGTAGGGTTTAGGGTTTAGGGTTTAGGGTTCAGGGTTTAGGGTTTAGGGTTCAGAGTTAGCGGCTTCGGAGATCCCGTGGCCTTAGCTCCCTAAACCAACATCAAGGAGTGGACGATGTCTTAGCTCGGAATCGTTCCGAAACCCTGGGGCTTAGACCGTAAGCCCCGAGTAAAAAAACCTAAAACGCGAAGCCCTACATGGGCCCAGGATCGAACGTCTCTTGGGGGCCTCAAGGCAAACTGAAGTTGAAAGAGGCCAGGGCTACGCCGCATGTGAGCCCATCTGGTTCCAAACTAATCTAGGGGCCTGAATAATTAGAATAGGGTTTTGGGATACCTACGCCTAACTCCTACTTACGACGCCCCCCCTCCGTTATACATTAATTTCCTGGGTTTACCAGGCCAAGAGAAATGCATAACGGACCCTAATGACATGTGATCGATTTTTGCCTTTGTGCTCTTCGGTCGCTTGTAATCACAGAAAAAGCCGATCCCCCCATGGGCCTTTCAGGCGTGAGTTGGGAAAAGCACCGAATAACGGAACGACGAGCTACGATGCCTTGGCAAAAGAGTTGGTGACAAAGTGCGAATCTCTATGAGAAGTTTCTTGGGGACGTGGCCTGCTGCGGGGATCTGCTAAGGCCCGGAGAAATGAAAGCTCCCTAGAAATCCAGGGGCTGCCTCCAACAACTGAGATATTGGGACATGGGCGACAGGGGACCTATTTCATGGAGCTGCATCGAAACCCGCAGAATGTATGACGGACCCCCCCCCCATACATTCCCCGCCTCCCTACTACACCAATGAGACTGTCTGCTCGTGTTGCCCGTATCTACCCACCAAGCTAGGCATGTACCTCCCAGAGCTGCGATCTTACGGCATCTGGACCTGTCCCCGAAACCCGCAGAATGCATGACGGACCCCCCCCCCCGCCATACATTCCCCGCCTCCCTACTATACAATGTTGGGGATGTACCTCAAGAGACCAAAGCCTGGAGCCTGGAGCTGAGATCCAATGAGACGGTCTGCTCGTGTTGCCCGTATCGAACAGGGAACCGGCACGGATGCGGAGTGAGGCATGGATTATGATGCACTTCTACATGTGTCTGTCGTTCTTGCACGCGCGGCTGTCTTCCAGGCGTTGCTGAAATATATCTGCATCTTGCAAGGGCAGTGTCACAGCTTGAATCCGTGCACGGCACCTCAGACCTCGCTATACCGACCCCCCACGTTATACATTTCTGCCTTGGCGGCCCAATTTTCCCCCTAAGTACACCCCCCCCCCGTTATACATAAGTTAGGCGTGGGGATGTTTTGGGGGTTGTTATAGTATGATTACAAAGGGACCACGAGGGAATGTTAGTAATTTTTTCCGACCCCCATATCATAACCCGACACCTTCACCTTTAGATGTGACTGCGACTTGCGCCCTGAGATTGAACATGATTCCTAAGCTCTGTGCCTGGATTGCCCAGTAAACCCTAAACCCTAAACCCTAAACCCTAAACCCTAAACCCTAAACCCTAAACCCTAAACCCTAAACCCTAGCCCACGAAGAAAGATCTTAAAAGGCTTAAGACGGAATTTTTTAAGGGAACCGAACTCTGAAGAAAGGGAGACAGGTTGAGAGTTTAGGGCTTAGGGTCTAGCACTACAAGGCACCCAGATTACTGCTGTTTGCTTAAGAACCCCAAAAAATAGCATACTAATTGATACCTATATTGCCCTTATAAGGAATAATATTTTGCATTCTTTGGAGTGGGGGGGGGGTTCTTTCACAAGTAGTAGATTACGCTAGGACCCCTAAACCCGAAACCCTACCCGTAAACCCTAAACCCTAAACCCTAAACCCTAAACCCTAAACCCTAAACCCTATACGCTAGGACCACTTCCTGGCTGCTGCACCTCACGAAGAGCGACTCCGCATCCGGGTTTGCACCCCCTTCGGGCGTGGCCTCTGCTCAGCACAAGTTGTTTAGGGTTTAGGGTACGGGGGGACAACCAAGGAAGGAAATCAACTCCCCTAATCGCCCTGAACTTATATTTCCCAGATCGAACCAAGAAACAACCAAGAACACGGATAAGAGCAACCCAGGGGGGAAGGAAAAGGGGAAGGAATCCACACCCTTACCAAACCCTAAGAACCCAGGCACTTCTTTTTGAACTTGTGGCTTTCTGTTCAAGCCCATCTTGAGCCAAATACGATTACCGGGTTCATTAACCCTTCCAACTCTCAACACTAACTCTTTTCTACAATACCAATTGCAGCTCCGCACTCCCCCTGTCCTAGGATTTCCTAGGACACATTGGAGATGCAGATCTTTTGGCCAAAAACTGCCATTACGGCAGCAGCCAGCTGCTTGAAATGCAAATTGTGGTTTAACGTCTTCCAGGACGGAATTATAGCACATTGGCTAACCTACTACCCATAGAGAATCTTTTTTCACCTTGATCCTCTCATCACTGAAGACTCCTTGGCCTTCTTCACCACAAACCGTGGTCTTCGCTACGCGAAAAGCTACTGACTCCTACTATCAGGGATTTCCATACCCTTAATAGTAACCACCACATTGTCAGCACATTGGCTGTTCCAGCGCACCTGTCTCCAGAAAGAGAAAAACCATCCCTTCATCCATACCATCCAATCACTTCTTTTTCCGATTGTTGGCAATCTTGAGGTGAAGTTGCAGCAGAATATACTCCAGGTCCGAAACTGTAAGAACAGGATCCTGTATGCCCCTTTGAATTGAGGATACCAATCCTTCTCTCTTCGCATCCTCAATCGCCTGGCAAGATTGATCCAGCTCTTCATTCGCATTGGCAGACCCTGGTGCCTCCGCATCGGATGGACGATCCTTTTCCTCAGGATCTTGCACCATTACCACCTCTTCTTTTTTGGGACTCTGACTTTTCTCCTTCTTCTTTGTCTTTCCACCGACATTTGACTTTGTGCGCGCTTTTGAGGCTTTTTCCACTGCAGAAACCACCACATTGGATGATGATCCACCCTTCTCAATGACCGCCGGCATCTTCTTCGGCTTTGGAACCATGAGGGTATAAGGATCTTCGATAGCTGCAGCTTTCCTCTTCTTTTTTACCTTTTTCTTCTCCTCCTCAACGGCAACCTCCGTCTCCGAAGTCTCAACCACTTCTTTTTCGGCAGGAATATCTTTGCTGGACTCCCCTTCTAGGGACCTCTTTTTCCCTTTTTTGGGATCCTTTTCTTCTCCCAAATTGGCTCGCTCATACCATATCCTCAGGTCATTGACCCATTCTTCCACCTCCGCGAGCGAAACATCGTACGACTTCACTACTTCGAGAAGTTCCAGCACTGACAACATTTCAGTGGTCCACGAAACCCATACTTGATCCATGTAGTCAGCATCTCCAGTGATCTTCAGGAGTTTGAACAATGGGTCCGCCTCTGCTCGAGCCAAATCTGACTTGCCATTGGACAGAAATGAAATCGCCTCCATCAACAGTTCCGTCATCTTGGTCTCTTCGTCATAAACCATAAAATCCTCCTCATCATCACCGAACTGTTCAGGAGAGATCTCCTTTTTTCCACCATTTGCACCAGACTTTCTCCTTGGACCATCCCTTGGGGGCGTCCTTGGAGACCTTGGCCTCTGTTTTTCCAACGGAACCTCATGTCCAAAGACACACCTGTCACCAAACCGACACTTCCCAGACCGAGCAAACTGGACGCACCTCACACCAGTTGCATCATGCGAGAACTCACAATCCTTTCCAGCGAAACATTCTCTCCCTGCCACATAGTACTTGCACCAATATGAATGTAGCACCACATCATCTTCGGAATGGATGAATTTGCAGTCGTCACCAAATTTGCAGCGATCTTTCCCTTTGCCAAACCAATAGCAGAAACCCTTCTTCCTCTTCTCCAAGCGCTCTGCCTCATACCGGTCCATAGGGCGACTGTGCTCTACATGAACATTGCCATGTACCTGGGGACTGCTCCCTTCACCCGACGTGCTATCAGTATTTGGTGCTTGGAGTACAGCTGGAAAACCTGGCCTTGGTCCTACCACCTTCATGATCGGTTTTCCGCCAACTCCTGAGCCATGCTGAGACGATCCAAAAACATTGAACATCTTCATGAAGGCCTTCCTAGCGCCAATCTTCTGCACCCTTTTGATTGGACGTTTCATTGCTCCAACCTTGCATCCAGATGCATTCAAACGACGCAACCTTCTAAACCCAACTCTATGTCCCTTCTTCCAAAGAGCCATAAGAATTTTAGAGGCAGTAACATTCTCCACCTCTACCTTTTCCAATGATCCCTCACTTCCCGGAACAAACCCATCCATATCTGAAGACCTTTCCATCTTTTTTGACACCACTTCGTCGAGGTAGTCTTCTGAAATCCAGGGAAAGTTCCCCTTAGAGGAAGGATTGTCATCATTGTTTGGTCCTTCACCAGGATATCCTTTGGTGCTGTCAAAGATCTTACCAGTAGTGCGGTCCTGCATAGAGAAATTCGAAGCCACGCGGGAGTACACTGACCACAAGAAAATCCTTGTGTCCGCCAGTCTGGATGACCCACTGGATTTCTCCTCTTCCGGAGAAACTTCTGGCGCTTTGCCCTTCCCTCCAGTGTCACCGCTTGTCTCACCTCCAGCATCTTCAACGGGAATAAGGGATTCATTGTTCCCTTGATCAAGCACCGCATCCTCTAGTCCAAGAACTTCCAGCATCGCTGTCGAAGGATCCACCTCCTCATCCGCATCGTCGTCCATCCTTCTCCAGAGAGCCTCCAATTGGTCCGCACAAGTCGCCGCTTGAAGAAACTCCATCAACCGAGCCCTCCCGCGCTGCCAGAGAAATTCTGAAACCATCACCGACCCTTGTGCTCCCAGATTCAGGAATGGGTGAACCATTTTGGCTACCCTCGCCATAAGTTCAATATGAACTTCCATGCCTGGACTGCGGCTCCAATCATAGGCAATTGCCTCCATAGCAGTACCAAACTTGTCCGTATTCTTGAATTCCCCTTCCAGACCAGGAGACAACAAGGCACCCATCACCGAAAGAGGGTTCCCCACCGCCGGCAAGCACGGGTTGTCATGGAACGAATGATGCAGGTCAGTATAATATCCTTGATCTCTCCTTTGAAAAAGGAGTGTTCCAGTCCCTAGCTGGGCATTCATTTCATCCACTTGAACCATTTCAGCACATATCCTCTGTGCCAGGTGCGCCATTGCTGGCCAGACGGTACGATCGGTCAGACCGCGACGCATAACCCAATCAGTTGTTGGCGACTGGATCAGCGTTCCTGGATCATACACCATAACCATTGCACCGTCTCCCATTGACTGATCAGCATCGTCCTCCAGTGCCAGGTTCTCATCCTGTTCGCTTGCACCCTCGGATGACATGCTAATAACCAAATTTCGATCCATCTTATTGGACCCTTTTTGGCAATCTCTTTGCCCCATGGGCAACTTGCCAACTGCAACCTTCCAATAAATTCGAGTCAGAAGGCCTTTCACCAGCAATTGCTGAAGGTCACTCCTCACCGGACCACCATCCAACATCTTCGCATCATTACCACGGAGATCATTGCTCCCGCCTTCTCCTTCTTTTTGGTCGGTCTCCTCGCCAGAAATCTGTACTGCTCCTTCCGGCGCCGTCTCCTGTCCAGCCACTTCATGCCCAGGAAGAACTTGAGCGCTTTCAGAGACATTCACCTGTCCAGCAGCACCTTGCCCAGGTAAAACCTCATCCGTGGAGCCCACCGCCAGCGAACCAACCATAACTGAACCATCCCTTGTTCTTTTTTGAGACCGTTCAGCTCGACGAGAAGGTTGTGGTAGCGAAAAAACTTGTGAAGTCACTTCTTGGCGGGTCTCCCCCCGCGACGCTTTGTCGCGCCCTTCGCCAAGGTGAACCGATTTTTTCGGCCCATCATTGGAGCCTGAAGAACCACTTTGTGGAACATTGCCACGACTCGCAGTTCTCCACGAATCCCTTTCTTGCAAAAAGAGTTCCTTCAGGCGTTGTACCGCATTGGTCTCCTCCTCGCTTGAATCGCTTGAGGAAGCGGCATACGAGACCAAAGCCTCCGCCTGGTCATCATCATCCACCACATCTGCCCACGCTCTGCTGAATGGATACGACAAACCACCACGAGGTTTCACCGGCTCCAGTGGCTTCGGTTTTTCCACCACTTCCGCCAGTTGCACTCGTCGTTGTGACCGAGATCGTGGCACCTGTCGCACCTGTTTTTTGTCCAGCAAGGGCCTTCCCCTTCTTACAGGGTTTGATCTTGACCGATACTTTTTCGTTGGTGGATTCACCGGCGGCATTCCAACTCCCACCAACCGCAGCTTCTGTACGCACAACGGAGACCTCTGCGCAAGCGTCCAACCATCACGGTACCTGACCTTATCAAAAAGCTCCCGATAGGAACCTCTCGGCATAGTTTTTGCACCGGAGTCTTCAGCTTCACGCACCTGAGTGAGGGTTCGCACCGCCGCTCTTCCAGTCCCTTTGTTCCCAGAAGATTGTTGTACCCGTACAGATGCATCAGAAGGAACTGCCTTTTCCGGTCCTCCCGGTCGATATCGGACCTCACCCACCAATTGCAGAATTTTGCATGCGGTCACTTTGTTGATCCCTTTGTCAACCAAATCTTCCACAAAGATGAACTCTTGCAAGTCCGACACATTGGTCACACCAAGCGTAATCATCACCTCACTTACATGAGGGGTATACACCCACAGGTGTGCGTTGCGAGCCATCCAATTTTCAATCGGCTCCTCCGGATTGTGAAGCTGAGTACTAGTGGATGCAGCCACCGAATTCTTTTGCTCATCAGCTTCTACTTCATCCAGAATACCTTTTTCACCATCTTTTTGTGACACATTGGTCATTTGCAGCGCTTTTGGTGCCGAGGATGAGGAAGATTCAGCTCCCCCACTCGCAGGTGGCTGAAAAGTGCTTCTATCCGTAAGCTCCCATCCTCTCTCTTTTTCAAACCGGACCTGATTGGCCACCTGTACCAAGTGTTTCAGGAGCGACAGCCGCTCCTCTGACATCTCGTCATGGGAGTACTTGCAGAAATTTAACCCTTTCCGGCAACGTCCTCTGAGGTAATAATCGAAACAGCAATGGTGGAACCCTGCGTCCCTTAGTGACTTCCTGGAAGCATTGTCCCAAGCTTTGCCGGGCTCCCAAGTCCCTTCCAATGCTATGTCATCGTTGTGAAGATACCTGCATGTAGTCCCATATTTACAACCACCTTGATTGTAATACAGACACAGACGACCTTTTGGCTCACCCGACGTAGGCTCACCCTTTGATGCACCATTGTACTTAGCCCGGAAGGCTAAATCCTCCCGCTCCTGCTGTGCCTCATCCACTGTACCTTCCTCTGTGGGAGGGTCACCGATGTTCCCGTCCTCATCATCAGCTTCGTGGCTATTCTTTGGATCAGTTGACCCCCCTTCTGGCCAACCTTCACCGTACCGACGATGCTCATAGGGACACCCATCGCCATTGCGACACCTTCCCTTATTGAAGAACCTGCACAGCTTGCTGTAACCAGGTGACAACACCGTCTTTGGTGTCATGTAAGCCTTTTTGTACTGGTCAGGATCCATGTAGGCTTCCATTGGCTTGTTCTCCCTTTTGCTCATGGATTGCACTGCACCATCAAGCTCCTGCAAAAATAGCTTGGTGTCCAACCAAAGCGCGTTCCAAAACTCCTCTTCCCCTTGATCCAGCACCACTGCCACCGCATCACCCACAACTGGTCGAGAAAATCTCCTTTTCCTACGTGCCAGTTCGAAGAGCGCGTTGTGGTACTGTGTTCGGGAAAAGGTGGTTAACTCCCCCAAACCTGTGTTTTCTGTACCATCAGGCTCCCAACCATCATTTTGCAAGATGCCATACGCGCGCCGAGCTTCCGCATTGAGGAATGCCTGATCCGCAACACACTCCTGTAAATCTTCCATCGGCCGACCTAACAGCATCCCAGTAATTTTGCCAACATAGGCTTCCTCTTCATTTCCATTCTCCAGAAGAGCTTTGTAGATCTTTTCTCCATAAAGTTGCCTTTCTTTTCGTTCTTCAGAAGACAACTCCTGTACCACAAGCTCTTCATCGGATTGCTCTTCCTCCTGTTTCCAGTCCCATTGACCGTTGGAATCTTGGTACCATTGACCAGCATACCATGAATCCGTCCACCACGTACTCCAGCCGCTGGGTTTCCACTTCCGCAGCGTCGAAGAAGAGTCCTCCACGTCCTCTTCCAAAACCAGAAAGGTGTCCAAGATTATGGTACCATCATCTTCCACTCGTTTCACTGTTCCATTGACAGTATCACCAAACTTGAACTGATATGCATTGTTCCCTTCTGCAGGAATCAATACATTCATATCCCCATGGTCCAAAAAGGCTCCATACCCATTGATGCAGCGCACTAGACCCATGATCTCATCTCCCTCTTGATAGCAATGTGGCCCAGGTGACTCCAAGGCTCCCGCTCGGGGCACTTTCTTTACACGCTCTTCAGAAACCATCTCTGTATCATCGGCTCCTGGCGCATCCTTTGTCTTCACCTTTGGGTCACACTGCTCGTCCTGCTCCACGAGTCCCACAAGCTCATCTTTTTTGTGCTCCTGGATTTCAGGACCTCCCTTTTTCTCCGCCAACGGCTTTGCCTCATCTGCTGTAGTTCGCTCGGTGTCGACTTCCGGTGAACTTCCAGACGGCAACGCTTCTCCCTTCATGGGAGTGGACCCATCATTGGAGTCCTTTGTCTCACCTTCTGCAGCAGGCAAATCTTCTTCCACTGCAGGGCAATTGAGTCGATCATCCACGGCAGGCACGCTTTCTTCCACCGCAGGCTCCTTTGGTTCCATGGCCTCCAAAGGAGAATTTCCACCATCATTGACCACAGCTGCCTCATTGGCTCCGGTGTAGCCCTTGTCATTTCGTTCCTCGCTGCTAACTTCAGGTTGCACCAGTGCGTCCACCTGTGAACCTCCATCATCAGCTGCTGCGGAGACCTGCGCCCCATTGTTGCAGTCGCCCGTGGAACGTACCACCACATGCACCTCAACCCGTGCTTCCTTCGCACTCCAGGTAATATCTGGCGCATCAACCCGCGCATCATTGGCGCTCCAGGCCTCATTTTTCAGATCATCCGTGTCTCCAGCTATTCCAGAAGCTTCTTTTTCCCCTTGAATGGCAGAATTCTTGGCACCAAACGAAGAGACCTCCTCAGTCGTAACACACAACTTTTTCTCTCCATCCTCCGAATCTCCAGGACCACCTTCCTGAACAACAGGTACCACATCCACCACTCGCTCTTCTGCAGCCGACACAGTTCCGATCACCTCATTGGGCATTTTCTCTTCTGGATCCACCAATTCCATCGCTGCCCCACCCTCAGAAAGCGCTTCTGTTTCTTCCCGATCCAGGTGTTGAGCTCCAGCGATGTTGGCTTGGTTCCCAGGAATCCCTTCCTCATCAGGAGAACCCGAGGTCGGGGCGTCACCATCAGCCCTAGGACCGCTATCCCTGATAGTAGAGGAAAAATCTTTTTCACCTAAACTATTTACACTACCCTGGAATGCCCTCGTAGACTCAGTCTTCGGAGTAGAGGATGAAGAATCCAGTGCCGCCTCCATTTCCAGCTCATTGCCCAAAGGAGACCCAACCACCTCGTCACTCTTCACCTTTTCACCTACCACCGGCAATGTCCACTTGGTTTCGTGCGTATCCAGGCAGTAATAATATTGTCTCCCATCTTCATGGAGGTGCAATTCCCACATTGTGCCATCACACGCTTGGATCAGATGCTCGTCTTTCCGAAAACCGTCCCTTTCAGAAACCTGTCGCATCTCGTCCTCTTCTTCTGACAGCTGTCGCAACCGTTCAGCCTCCATCTGTAGGATCTCCTCCTCCCCCATGGCGTATTCAGCAGCAGGTGCAGCTTCAAAGCCGTCCGCACCCTTCTGTTTGTGACCGCTTCCACCACCTTGGGAACTCGAAGATGGACCCTTTTTGATCTTGTTCAACGGCCTCCTGGTCGCTTGTAGCACTTCTCCAATCAGATCGGTCTGAGACTCTTGGTCTACCATTCGACCCGAAGTCGAAGACGACGGCTGGTACCCGTGTTTGTGTAACACTCGTAAAACAGTCACCTCCATTTCACGATCTATGCCACCAGTCGCATCCCAGTTCCTTTTTTCACCAGGCTTTGGCGGTACAGAAACAGCACGTCCTTCAGCTTCAGCATTGCTAACCATATCCCTATTGGGATTCATACCCGCATTGGGGCTTTCTGCAACTAAGGCATCTTGTCCACCATCCGAGGCAAGTTGGAGCCATCGCTTCGGGGAAGGCATTGCTTCTTGATCCCAAAAACCTTGAAAGAACACTTAACCGCAGGGAACCTAATTTGGGCTCATAACCTACGGGGGGACAACCAAGGAAGGAAATCAACTCCCCTAATCGCCCTGAACTTATATTTCCCAGATCGAACCAAGAAACAACCAAGAGCACGGATAAGAGCAACCCAGGGGGGAAGGAAAAGGGGAAGGAATCCACACCCTTACCAAACCCTAAGAACCCAGGCACTTCTTTTTGAACTTGTGGCTTTCTGTTCAAGCCCATCTTGAGCCAAATACGATTACCGGGTTCATTAACCCTTCCAACTCTCAACACTAACTCTTTTCTACAATACCAATTGCAGCTCCGCATAGGGTTTAGGGTTTAGGGGTAGGTCTTGGGGTTTGGGTGATTAGGAAGAATCAAAGTAATCCAAACCGGAGCCCCAAACCCTAAACCATCTCAAAATCCGCGCTCTGCAGCAGGAAAGCAGATTCCGCTAGGCTACAACCCTAAACCCTAAATCCTAAACCCTCAACACTCGACCCTAAGTCCTAAATCCTAAACCTGGCTAAGTCTTACACCCTGCAGCCCAAACCCTTATGAAGCCTTGCAGACCTTAAGCCCAAAATCAGCACCCTTATCCCTAAACCCTAAACCCTAAAGCCTAAACCCTAAACCCTAAGGTCACAGCTGAACGTCCCTTGCCCTGCACATCTCGGAGGAGGGCTGAGATTTTTGGTTACGTAAAATGGGCTACACTAAACCCTAAACCCTAAACCCTAAAGCCTAAACCCTAAACCCTAACCCCTCGGGTTCCGGGCTTCGGGTTTAAGGGGCCCCAATGTGCTTTGGGGGTTTTGGGCCCGAGGCTGGCGCATGCGTGTCCGGGTCGGCAAGTAAGGACTGGATGGCCACCAGGATGGTGCACACCTGCGTTTTTTGGTTTGGGGTTTAGGGTTTAGGGTTTAGGGTTTAGGGTTCAGGGTTCAGGGGTTAAGGTTTAGGGTTTAGGGTTTGGGTTCAAGGGGCGTATGTAACCCAAGGTTCCCCAAGACTCCCCACTACCCCCCAAGGCTCACTCAGCTTCCCTAGGTACCTACCCCCCCATGAATCCCCCCCCCGCAGAGAATATCGGCTCCTGAAGGTTTAGGGTCTCGCGTGGGCAGGAAGCTCCACAGGGGGGGTACGCAGGGCTCTCTTTTTGCCACCAAGCAGCAACACAAAACAAGGCAAGAAAAGACATGTTCTGATAGGAGTCTGTGTCCTATGACTTCTGCCTAAATGCTGTACACTATACATATTGGCTTCTTTTCGAAAAGAACAGTGTGCTGGTGACAAGGGCTCCTATTCCGTAGACCTGAGCCAATGCCACAGATAAGCCAAGTCTCATTGACTCTAACTGGCTGCTCACTCACTCGCGCTCCCCCTTGGTGACGTGTCACCAACTGTACTACGGGAGGCAAAAGAGCTTCATCATCACAACGGCAAAGAGGGCTCTCACTGGATCCTGCGGCCTGGGATGCTTTCCCGGCAGGCTCAAGCGTAGCCTCTTGGAAGCAAAATGCTTCGTTGAAGAAATGGGCTTCGAATGCTCCACTCCGGCCTGGAGTGTTTCCCCGGCATGGATGAAGCAAGAACTCATCTACCCTGTTGGGTAAAGGCGTTGCACATCGACCTCAAGTTCAGTGCGACCACGCCACTCGTGTTCATGGTACCGGCGAGCAGCTTCTGGGTTTCGCCAGTTATCATCATAATACTGTCGCTCACCAGCTGCATATATGGCTAGCGTCCTCCTGCGGCCTGTGAGTGCTCGGGCAACCTGGTCTGCGCTGGGTCGAAGCGACGAACTCTCACGACAGCGTGCCAGCGTACTAAGACAGTTGGCCTCTCTGCATCGTACTGAAAGAAGTCCTGTCGAAACTCTGGCGGCGGTGCCTGAAAAAGTGTGGATAGATCTCCACCCCATGATGTCCTCGTCAGCCGCATTTCCCTCATAGTTGGCTGCAGCGTGGGGGCGGGCCAGCCGACCCTGAGGATATAGGGCGGATCAGGTGGATGATTGAGCCGTAGGGGCCTTGCTTGCAATGGGCCTCTAGGCTGGGCGACTGCGTCTCTGTGGACAGGCTCAGGCGGGTTCGCTGGCGCGTCTGCTGGGCCTGGCATAAACACCTGAACCTCATCATCAGCAAAGGCAAATGTGATAGGGCGGCCTTGAGGCTCTACATCAGGCTCCTGCTGCGCTACAGGTCTTGGGGGCCTTCGCCTCAAGCCTTCTTCAGGGGTCATTGCGGGAACGGGATCCCTAACACGAGCAATGGGGGCCTCATCAGGATCTGGGCCTTCATACTCATCTTCGGGCTGTTCAGGGATGAAAAGCTCTTCAGGTTCTGGGGCTGGGAGTCTCGGCCTGAGGAGTTCCTCGGCAAGACGAAACACTGCCCTCAAACAAGCCTTAAATGCTTCCCAAACTGCAATGGACGTGATTGAGATTAGCACAGCAAACACTACAAGAGACCAGTCTTCACTACTCTGGGTCCTGTCCTGGTCCTTAGTGGCTCTGGCGTTGCACAGGCAACAGGCCAAAATGATTGCCCTTAGGCAATCCTTCACGTGCTGAACGGATTTTGCCTTAGTGGTTTCGGCAGGCGGATCCTGCGCGGACATTCCCAGCACTGCCATCAACGTCTTGATCCTCTGCGGGCCAAGTGCCTTAGTCCCTATATCAGCACCATTCTTGTCTCCACCTACATGCACGAAAACGAGCAATTTCATGTCAGACCTCTCTTTCAGGACTCTAGCCCTAATTTTTAGGTGACGGGTTCTCCAAGAAACGGTGGGGCTGTTGATCACTGTGATAGCACTCAGGTTGTCGTTTGCCACAAACACCCTTGGTTCATGCTGCCACAGTTCACGAGCAAGTCCTACATGTGCAACTGCATAGTTACTGCCAGTAGTAGTGGAGAGAAGTTCTGCTTCACATGAAGACTGCGTGCAAAATGGCTGCCTTGTGCTGACCCAACCAACAGTAGACCCTTCACAGCGAAGCACGGTGCACTCATGAGACCTATCACCTCCTGGTGCGTGCGACGCATCTGTGTATGCCTGCAGCACGTGCATGTAGTCTTGTGCTCCTACAAGGTTGTGCTCATCCCTGTCCTTTGGGCCTGCGAAAACAAGACCTACCGACGGCGTCACAGACAAGTAACCTAGAACCTGCAGGGCCTGCCTAAACGTGAACTCAGGGTCCTTTGTGCTCCACTGAGCAAGCTTGGAAACGGCGTAGCAAAGGTCAACCCTAGTACGAATCGACAACCACAGCAGTTCACCTACAACTTGTTGGCACTTCCTAATGCTTTCGGCGTTGGGGTTAGGGACGGCAACAGGGTCCTCCAGTCCTTGTGGAAGAGGCTGCACGGAAGCGACAAACTCGTTGGTGTACCTACTCAGCAAGTCCTTTGCGTAAGCGGTTTGAGTTACAACCAACCTGCCCTCCCTTGACCAGTACAGCTCTAAGCCTAAAAAGCGAACTGGATTCGACGGGTCACTTCCAACCTTCTCTGGGTCAGAACACGCCCACTTTTCACAAACTGCCCTAATGACCCCCTCGCCTAAATCCTCTATACCTGACCCAAGAATATCGTCAACGTAGACAGCGATCCACCCGAGCACTTCCTGGGACTGCGCAGGCACAGGAAAGTCTGGGTCCTGAACGAGAACTGTCTCAACGTCAACAACAAACCAAACGCACTCGTCAGCAAGAGACTGCACTAGCTTCAAAAGCTTGCTTTTCCAGGGAATTTTCAGGGTACGAAGTTCAGCGTCTCTCGTGAAACCCCAGTCTCTTGGACTTTGGTCAAGACCGTAAACTGCCTTTTTCACTATGAGGAAAGTACCTACAGGCACGACTCCTTTGGACACTAGGATACGTGGAGGGTTCAGGACAACGTACTCGGCTGGGTTCTCGCTCTCCGGCGAGTCCCGGCGGACCGCGTGAGCAGTTCCAGCGTGAGCTACTGCTTCTTGTGCACCCTCACGGTTCCTAGGTAACAGTTCTGAGTTCAGGAAAGCAGTCTTGATGTCTACAGACCAAACAGGCATTCCACGACGTGAACTATATGCTAACAACATGCGCAGGTGAGTAAGGTCAACTCCACTAGAGTAGAGGTCATGTTTCCTCTGGGCCTTTGACTCTCCTAGGCACGTACCAAGAAAGTTACCACAAGCAACTATTCGGGCTTTGAGCCTACCTTTGGGGGCCTTGATACTGCAGATAAGCTTTGAGGGAATGACAGTGACCTTCACACCCTTCGCGCTCAACTCGTCCAGCCTCTCCTGGGTCACAGGCTCAAGCGCCTCTTTGTCCTCAGTAAGGGACAGGAACTCTGCGACGACTGCCGGTCGCCACACCTCGAAGTTTTGAAGAACTTGCCAGTTCGGTACGATCTTGGTCTGCAACACCTGCTCCGGCGTGTCCTCTTGAACCGCGTTCTCATCAAGAGTTTCCGGAAAGGATGCTTCACACACGCAGACAGCAACCGCACTTTCGTCACGCAAGCTCAAGGCACGCAACTCGCACTCCAACTCCTCACGCTTCACGAGCAGGTCAGAGAGGATGGTGCCCTCACAGGCCTCCTTTAGGCCATGCTCTTCAAAGGCTGTGATGAACTCTTGTCGCTCATGGGCGATCAGCTTGCTCACCACACTGTGCTCGTTAAGCAGCCCTTCAAGCGCCCACGCATCACCCTCAAGCTCGCGCGGTTCTAAAAACAGAGCCTGCTCAACTTCTTGCTCATAGGCCTCCTCGTCACACGCTCTGTCTGGCATGTCTTCAAGGTTAGTTGGCCGAAAACTGTCGAAAAACAACTGTGCTTCGAACTCCTCGCACCCTACCGCGCAACAGCAAGGTACGCTCATGGACAGGTCTGGCACGGCAGACACCTCACGCTCAACGGTTGCCTCTGGCGACACCCCAGCAAAGCACACGGCGTCAAGCTTCACAAACAACTTGCTGCAAACAATACAGTCACGCTCACAGCAACTACAGGTACATGCGGCGGCCTGCTCTTCAGCAACAGGACCTACGCCTTCACTTTCAAGCTTTTTTGGGTTTTGGATTATGCTATTTTTAGGGTTTTTGGGATTTTCAAGCTCTTTCAGAGGGGTGGCTCCCCCTTGCTGTGCAACAGCAACATTGGAAAACTGCTCGTGTGGGGGAACTTTGAACCCCAGGCTTGTCAACTCCGCACGCTCCGCTCCTTTGAGCTTATCCGGGCGGCTCACCGTGTAAGCAGAAAGCACAACTCGATGCTCTCCACATGGCCACGGCTCAGTGCAATGAAACCGGTGCGAGTTGAACTGAAACGGCTGTCCTAAGGGAAAAACTTGTCCTTGCGCAACTTGTCCTGTAGGAAGCGTTTTGCAAACCGCTGGTCCACTTAGCTCATCACCGCTGACGGTTTGCACCCACAAGCCACCACCACTAGACGGCGCTTGCACAGTAACTATGTGGTTTGGGTACAATGGATGATTGTGAACATCACGATGCAACACTGCCTCAGCGTCAGTACTCAAAACAACGGTAGTAAACTCAGCGTGTGGCACAGCATGCCGCACAAGCTTGGTCAACAACGCTGCAACACCTGAGCAACGCTTCGTGTTCTTGGTCACACCTGACACGCCACCATGCACAAACTGACCAAACACATGATGTTTGCCAGAGTGTAGGCGCTTGCCATTATCACGCGACGCGTCAAGGTCAGAAAGAGACAACTGAGCAACAAAGGCCAAAGCCGCATCAACATCAAATGGCGTTGTAGCAGCAAGCTCACCAGCACATTGGTCAACGGCCTGGGGTGTTCCCCGGCTTTCGCAACCAACTTTTGCAAGCACAACGGGCCGTTTGGCACTATGCCGGCGCACTGGGGCTGGCA